AGTATTTTTCAGGCTAGAAATCAATTATATTTCAGAGGCAGCGAGTAGTGCTGCTAGAAGGTTGAAAGTCAACTCCATATTTATAAAATTTGACAGTATAAATCACTGAGCAATGGTCTATCTGCTTTATCCCTGAAATTTATTATACATGAAAAGAGAAACCAACATCATAATACAGATCTGTTACACTGGTCTTAAGATTACTTGTGTGAAATAATGGATTTTAATAACTATAGCAGTATGAATAAAAGGCTGAATATAAGGCCATGCAATCAATGTACCACACCTTCGCTTTTAAGAGTAGAATGGGGGTCTGGTAAAATGGGTGAAGGGGGTCAAAAGGTATAAACTTCTGCTCATAAAATATATTTGTCATGGGGAGCGTCTGTACAACATGGCCACTATAACTAATAACAATGTGTTGCATATCTGAAAGTTGCAAAGAGAAATTTGCTAAGTAGAAGCTCTCATCACAAGAAAAAAAATATTGTAACCATGTTTAGTGACACTAACTAGTCTTATTGTGGTGATCTCTTTAATACATACACATAGTGAATCATGTTGTACACCTGAAACCAATATTCTATTTCAATTACATCTCATTTTTTTAAGTAGAATTGCATACAAATTTCACATATCTGATTATTATCTGTAAGCATGGATTGAAGTGATATCAAAACCTTAAAATAATGGAGTTAGGCAATTTAGCAATTTCTGTAGCACTCTCTCTGTGAAAGCAATTCTTAGCTCAGTTGTGCAAACTCATGATCATTCTAACAAAATTCTACAGCAAAAGTTCAGTAAACTTAGTACCTGTCATTAAAAAATAATAACTCTATTAGATGTGATTACAAGTATTTTATTTCTATATGTAAAAGTAGTTAGAATTAATTTTTTTCTGGGTTTAAAAGATATATACTGAAGCTTTTTCCCATGCCCTTGGTTAATCTCTGCTGAGAAGAAATACTATGACTGCATGGGTATAGAGTCAGAACATCTTAAGTTCAAATACTGGCATCTCTTGTATTAGTGTGATCCAACACAAATTACCTAAGTTTCATTTTCCTCATTTTGAAGACCTCATTTGAAGATAAGCTGTTATAACATATGTAAAGAACTAAGAGTGCTTGGCACAAACAGGTAATTCAAATAATTGTTAATGGAGAAAAAATTAAAATTACCCCATTAATTTATAAATAGGCAATATAACTTGTATGCATACACTTCTCAGATATAACTTCATATTAATGCTGCAGAAAAATATCCTCAAAGTTTCAAAATCTTTTAATGAAATGTTCCCTAAACTTCAGATATAACCACATATCATTTATATTATTGCTTACTTGTTTTCTCATATCATCTTTTCTTCCTTCTATCCCCACCTAGAGCATTTAGATGAGCTAGTTATATTTTTAAACTATAAACATAAAATTAAAATCATAGGGATTAATTTAAAGATTATCTCTGATCTCCTAGAATCATCCTGTATCTGGCCAGTGGTAGTGGACCTCACTTTGTTAATCACTGTTTTGAAGTTACATAATAATGTATGCCTACAGATCATTTTCCTAATAAAAATTCTTAGCACCATGAAATTCTGTCACTAGTTTCCAAAGCAAGTAGATTCATAAACAATGAAGGTGTTTAAAAAAAAGCGGGGGGAAAATCTTGGTTACTGATTAAAATTTAACTACAGGACATAACAGGAGCTTGCATGATTCTCCAAAGTTTCTAAAATTCATTAATAAGAGTATTGCATGCCAACTATATAAATAGGTTCATTATTTCAGAATTTGGTCATAAAACATCTTTAAGAGATATAACTGTAACTGAGGATATGAATGTGATTAATGCCTGCTACTACCACAAAGGAGTGGTATCAGGTTAAGCTGACTGATAAAACTGAGCAAAGCACATTTCTTTTCCTTCAAAATTGAAACAGAACAAGGAGCAATCTCTGTATATCAGAGAAAATTATGTCATAAAAATAGCAGCTATGCGTTAAAAGAAAAAGTTTTTATTGTTAGATAGTCTCTAAATGTTCCATGAGAAAACTTGGCTTTTTTCCTAACTATGTAAATAAACAGAAAAAACAAAACCATAAACAAAAGTTTGCTCTGAGGGACATATGATACCAGACATATTTATAATATTATAGGCTATAAAATATCTGTCTTGGTGCATTTTACTAATAACTGACCACAAATTAATGGGTGCCTGAGTCAATTAAGCATACTACTTGTTTTTGGCTCAGATCATGATCTCTTGGTTTGTGAGATCAAGCCTCGCATCAGACTCTATGCTGACATTGTGGAACCTGCTTGGGATTCTCTTTTCCCCTCGGTTTCTACCCCTTCCCCACTTGTGTGCATGCACCCATGCTCGTGCTCTCTCTTTCTCTCTCAAAATAAATAAATTTAAAAAAATTTAATAAAAGGGGCGCCTGGGTGGCTTAGTCGGTTAAGCGTCGGACTTTCGCTTAGGTCATGATCTCGCGGTTCATGGGTTCGAGCCCCACGTCGGGCTCTGTGCTGACTGCCAGCTCGGAGCCTGGAGCCTATTTCAGAGTCTGTGTCTCCCTCTCTTTCTGACCCTCCCCTGCTCACGCTTTCTCTCCCTCTCCTAGAAATAAATAAAAATATTTTTTAAAAGTCTAATGAGAAAGTAAAAATAAATCAATGAAGAATTCACCTCTTTTGAAATATAATTATTTGGTATCAGAATTCTATCAAACACATGGGTTTTATATTCCAATACTTTAAAATCATTGATAACATTTCTTATGGAATTTAAGCCTTTCCATGTGACCTAACAGTTAAGTGTAGTTTAAAAATCTTGCCATATTAACAAAAAATATTTTGGAACTATGTATGGCATTTATGCTGCATTTCATTTATAAATAAGGGGGGAAAACCTTATCTTGTTAATAACCACTTTTCCAGCAAAGATTTTTCATTTGGATTTGGGGAGGTCTATTCATTCTGTAATAGTTCAAATATATAACCACAGAGGAAGTTATAAGATGCAGGTTTTAAATTACATGTAAAGTGTATTTGTCTAACTGAATAAATTTCTCTTCTCAGCAAAGGGTAAGTCTAGGTAGATACATTTCCTTCTTCTTTCAACCCATGCCAGATACCACCAGGAGGTAGGTAACCTTAAACTACTGGCTGTAGGTTCTTTAAGAAAGAGAAAAATAAGCTCAGTGAAGAGGTTTTGGTTGGTCAGCTTACTCTGTCCTCTGAAAAACTGTGAGGAATGGGCGCCAGAAGAAAATTGGCATCCCATATTACAGGACAAGGGGTCCCTTTGACAAAGTTACTGTCAGATGCAAAAGAAAAAAAAAACATTTGTATACATTTATCAAACTGATAAGGGTTTTTTTCACGAAATAAAAATACTACTAATCAGTAATAAAGTAACATGACATAATTTAGATGAAACAGACATGGGGAAAGCCTTTGTAGGCAAATCTAGATATACTCATTCAAGTAAAAACAAAGATGGAAACATTTATTTCAGGAAAAATTATGGTAATGTACGTGGTGAAGCTAGAAACAGTTGAAAGCAAGTGTCAGGGATGATACAAACTGGAGAGGTGTGCCTCATCTGACTACATTCCAGGTAAAGAAAGAAAATTAAACACTATGCATGTCAACACAAAACACGTGCTGAGCTAATTGAGACCATAGGTCAGGAGACTGAGATCCCAGTGTTAAAGTCTGGGGGTTTGAATACAAGGTCAATTTAGAAACAGGAAGTTAAACTGAGCTCACCTTGTCTGCTTCTTCTTAAAAATACAGATTTTTTAAAATTTACTTTTATTCATTTCTATTTTTCCTGTCTGTTCATTTAGATTTAGCCAGTACAAAAGATTTAGATGTAACCAGAATATAAACACATATTAAAAATTAAGTTGCCAAGTGACTATGTCTGGTCCCTTCCTACAGGGACTTGATCCTCCTCCAAACCATTCTAACCATGGAGGCCCTGCCAAAGGAGGTGTCTTGCTGCCCCTGCCCCATGGTTCACACAAGACAGGATACACAACCTCAGAAGGGTCAGTCAAAGGCCTTTTTCCAGAATTAACAGATGCCAAGGCAACCTCTTCTGAGAAAAGGGTCATGATATTATATACATAAAGGTGTACAAGTCATCTTTCCAAGTGATAGAGAGTTCCACAGAGAAAGGAGTGAATCCAAAGGAAATTGGATACAGAAAATGAAGACAAATTTCTGAAATGTAAAATACCTGGATCTAACTGTGCCTATATTTAATCAACTCCAGAAATTTTCAATTATACGAATTAATAAATTCTCTTTTGTGTTTAAGCAACTTTCAACGAAGTTTCTATTACTTGCAAACAAAAAAGTGTCACAAATAAGAGACAAAGAAGATATTTGGGTTTTGCATGTATTCATTAATATCTTACTATATCTTCTTTCCTGTCAAAAAACAGCAAAATTTTCCCCAAGGGATTTTTCCAACCTGACATACATAGATACTCTAACTTAATTACCAGAACCTGTGCAGGGGGAGGGCTCTTAAACCACATTATCTTATTTGACAACTCCCTAGATTTACTACATGTTCTGTATATGCTTTGACACAAACAATTCTTTGTTTGATAATAATGAAAATACTGATTATATGAAGTATCATACATAGCGACCTTATTTTCTGATCCTAAGTATTAATGGAGAAAACTTATAAAAGAAAAACAAAAAAACACCTGAAAGCATTTAAACCAATTTTTATGTTCTATGGCATGGTACTTCAAAAAACTTTAACCATACATCAGTAGACACGAACATCAATGCAGAGACCCAAAACAAAGAAATCACAAATGCTAATCACCTACTATTCTCACAGACATGATTAATGAAAAGACTATTTCAGAAAAACAGCTATCATCATTTCCATTTCCAGCAGTTAAATCAATAGTCGGTCACCACAGGTTTCAAAGATGAACCAAACCAGAGAAAGTAATGCATACTCACAAATTATAAAGCATGTCAGCCATGTTGCTACGGTAGTACAAAGCATTTCTATAGGCGCTTTCAGCTTCAGAAATTTTGCTCTGACTCTTCAGAACATTTCCAAGGTTACCCCATGCTGCCAAGAAGAGAAAGAAGTATTCAGGCTGAGCGTCAATCCAATTATACATGACATAATATCAGGGTGTCAGGAAGTACCACAGGGAGAGCAAACCTTCATAAAACATTTTTAAGAAGGAAAATTTATTTCCTTTATACTCCAACATTTCATCAAACCATGAGATTAAATATAATCGAAGCCTTAAAAAATTTAAAGTAATTATTATGTCTCAAAGCTGATATACATATGCAGTTCATCATAAGGCCAAGAACAATGTTATCTTAAGATCACCTACAAAGACTTCATGCTTTTTCAAATTTCAGTAGGGGTCCGCATGGCTTGAGTCAACTTACTGAACCAGAACTGTAAGAAATAACCATGAAATAAATAAAGATTTCATTCAAATATGATAAAACTGAAAAATGACATAAAAGAACAGCATATAAAACAAGATGACTAAGACTAAATCTATAAAGAGGCTTAATAATCATTACACTTCTTAAAACAGTTAAATATATATGGTTCATTCAGATACAATGTTCTTTTATATGTTCCTTGCTAATACATTTATTTGTGGGAAAACTAGTGTCTTGGTATTTTCACACATAATATTTTAAAATAAATCTGTATTTTGGGGTACTTGGTTTCTTCAGCTGGTTAAGCATCTGGTTTATGGTTTCGGCTCAGTTCATGATCTCACGATTTCATGAGTATAAGCCTCGCATCTGTGCTGCTTGGGATTCTCTTCTCTCTCTCTCTCTCTCTCTCTCTCTCCCTCTCCCTCTCCCTCTCTCTGTCTCTCTCCTGCTCATGCTGTCTCTGTCTTTCTCAAAATAAATAAACTTTAATAAAATTTAAAAAAATCTGCATTTCCTGTATGCTCTTTCTTTTTCGCCCCAAGTAATCATGATTTCTCAACATTCAAAAGACCAAAGCTATACCATCAACAACTGTGCATACAGCATGGCTCTCAAGCAGACTTAGTGCTCAAAGCTGGATGCTTCTGTTGTCTGTCTTCTTTCCAAAAGGAGACGGGGTGTTGAGTCCTGAAACCAGAATCCTTCACAGACAGAAGACTGGGATAAGAAGGCTTTTATGTGTCAAGATATATTTATTTGGATAATTACTGACTGTATCTGAAGAATATCAGGGATTTGGCGGTATCATTTTTTAATGACTAAAAAAGTGTAGACTCTTTCAGTAATGACATTGCCTGTGTACCCTGCTAATTTAACATTGTGCCTTAATTTACTCATCTGTAAAACAGGAAAAATAATTCGTATTTTATGGGTCCTGTGATGAGGATTAAAGGTATTAAGACATGTGGCAAACATTTAGCAAATGTTTGCTATTATCATTAATATTATTGTGATTGGTATTTTTTGCAGTTTTTAATGTCAAGCATTGCTTATAGAAACAATATCAAATATAATGCATTATATGCCATTATGTTAACTCCAGAGAATAATAATCTTCTATATTTGGAAAGTCGTATAACTTCTTTTCCCTCTGATGGAAAACAGAAGGAAAGCACTGGACTTACAATTATTCATCACTTAATAAAGTCACATGCCACACCACACCCTTGAAAAGTAGCATCTCACTGAGCTCTCAACACAGTCCTGTACATAAATACCCCATCTATTCTGTGAGTGAGGAAACAGACCTGGAGACACTAAAGAACTTGCAAAGTTAATACAAAAGTAATAGATCAGGAATTCCAATCCTAGGCTGGAGGCTTCCAAACCTTTCCCACCATCTACCTAAGATTTTCATTGCACATTTCATCTTTCACTGCAAATCAGCTTTCACACACTACAAATCAGACCTTGGCATTATGAATTCATGAAAGATTGAATCCTTAAATTGAAAGATAAAACTTAGTTTTAAAATACTATAGAATTAGTTTATAATATTGACAAGTTCCAAAACTAAATTCAGTAACAGGAAATATCAAGTAGTAGGAAAAGCATATAGTAAAGTAGGCTATAATTATCTTCAAAGTTAATAGGTATAGTATCACATGTATTTTATATCCAGTCCCACTTCCCCTACCATCACCATTACCAAATTAATAAAGTATGGCTCCGTGGAAACTTCTAACAGTCAGGTTGTTTTCAACTCACTTCACTTCTTCTGAAGTTCTGCTTTGATTGTGGCATTATTAATGAAAGTATATTTATATTGGAATCACTACACAGAAATGCCATGAAGTATTAATTTAAGCAACAGGAAGACACCATTACAATACTATCTCATCCAACCCACACTCTTAGAATACAGATGCTTGAAAAAAAGAAAAGAATTGCTTTGAATATTTTAAGTCATATTTCCAGACAGACTGTCATTTTTTCAGGAATTTACATCTCAATTAAATAATATACTAACAAATGTTTCTCTTTTTAATAGTCAATAGATATATAGTTATGCTTAGAATATGTTTACTGAGTTGGTTGTTCATTTATTCATTCATGTACATATCTAATTATTAAGCGGATATTTGCTAGCACCTAGTCAGTGCCAAAAACTTTATTAGGGGCTGGGCACACAGACATGTGCATACATAGAAGCTCTCACCCACGTGGAACTTATGTTTGAAGTGGCATGTGAAAAGGAGTGAGGAAGGAAGAACCACACCAGAGAATGAGTTAACTTCAAATAATGATAAGTGATACAAACAAAATAAACAAAGCAAGGTAGTGTGAATGAGGCCAATTTATACAGGGACATCTTAGAAACAGGGAAATGGATGTGACGTCTAAGGACTAAAGGATAAGGAGCCCAGCCTTACAAAGATTGGTGATGCCAGGTAAGGGGAACAGTAAAAACAAAGGATCTAAGGTGGCTTCCACTGGGACAGGCAGCAAAGGAGACAGTGATTTCAAAGTGAGAATACCACTCAGAATTAAAAATCACTGGCAAGGTTATCTGTGGCAAAGCCATAATTTGATACCACGTTTCTTAGTTTCTGTCCAGATAGAAGCCTCCAACATCTTTATGATCAGTCATTGCCCTAGGTGACTGGGATGAGAACAAGAAAATTCCTAAATGAAGCATATATTTTTAAAACCATCTTACCTACTTATGGACTAAAGAGGAAGGAAGGAAAAAAGGCAGGGGGAAGGAGAAATATAGACTTTGATGTCCTGAACTCATCAGACTCTCACCATCAGGCTATTTTTTTTCTACTGTACATTACACATTCTTACAGAATACCAACTTGAGTCAAGGTTACTTTGAATCCATGATAAATGAGACAAAACAAGATTACTTCATAATTTTACTAAACACAAAAAAGAAAAAGGCCACTGTTCAACCCACAAAACACCAAAAACATCCCTCTCTCTTCCTAAATGAATGGCTTCTTTATCCAGTCAAAGAATTGTTCCAGCATCCAATCAAGAGAACACCCCACTTCTTTAGAACCTCTCCCAAATCACCCAACCAACGTTTAAATCCTATGATACAACTTCAGGATGCCCAGTATGTCCTGTTCCCTCAGTACAAGTAGTAATTAAGCCGAATTCTTTACTACCAATGTATTCCTGATGGTCTTAGGCTGAAAGGCTTCATACTCCACTATGAAAACAATTCCTTTCAAAATCCACCCTCCTCCCTTTTTTTCCCCTCAAGCTTATATTTATTGCCTGCAGACCAGTCTACTCTTTCAGAGTTGAAGAGGAGCAGGCAGCTCACCACACCCAGGCTTCCTATAAAGTGGGCAGATGACCTTAGGGCAAACTATCAGCTCAAAATTTCATTTCACATTGACAGTAAGCATTCGGGTGTCACCCCAAATCATTATTTAAGGCATCAAAATCCCTTTTTCTTTAGATAATTGTTCTTCAGTCCTGTGTTTACCAAAATATGTTGATTTTTAAATAAGAGCTGCCAAAACTAAGATTGCTGCATACTTTTTTTTTTTTTTTTTTACTTTTTTGGTGTGAAAGCTATCACTATTTCCACACATTCAAATTTAAATGTGATTGATTCTTGCATCAATGCTACAAAAACCCAATGCTAACATAAAGTAAAGATCACTTCTAAAAATATAAAACTATCCTATAGAACATGATCTAAAATTTAAAAATATCCCACTGGGAGTCAACTCCCAGTCAACAAATTAAAATTTAGCTATCACAGATGTGATTTAGAAGAAAACAGATTAAAGTGAACTATAAAAAGTCTATCTTAAAAGGATTAATGTCATGATTTCATATCTATATAATCATCCTAAAGACAATCAGTGTAGCCATTTTTAAAATTTAATTTGACCATATCAATCAAGTCAACATTTTTTAATATCAGATCAAATCTTAAATGTAGCTAGTCTGAGTAATTAAAACTATCCAAACCAAAACTTGAAAAATATGGAGAAATATTCCAAGGCTCATGGGTAGAACAATTTAACACTATTAATATAAAAATTATTTAACATTAATCCTCCCAAAATTAATCTACAATAAATTCTATGTAACTTCAATCTTTTTACATTGTTTATTAGTAAACTCAGTAAATGTATTCTAACCATCATCTAAGAGAAATATAAAACTTGATTTTACACCATACTTATCATATGCAAAGGTAAATTCCAGATAGCTTTAAAAGTTAAATGTGAAAAAATAAAGCTAATAGGAATAGGTAGAATATATTGTGGAAGGAAAAGAGACTCCTTAAAAAGACCTTCAAATATAACTCAAAAAGTTTAAAAACATGATGAATTTGAGTATACCAAAATTAAGGACTTCTAATTATTGAGGGATAATAGGTACAAAGTTAAACATGCATTAATACATTAGGAGAAGATATTTCAAACATCTAAATAAGGACTGTACTTAGAAGAAAAAATTCCTAACAAAGCAACTGGGAAAAGATAATATATCCAACAGAGACCAAAAAAAAAAAAAAAAGAAGGCAAAGGAAGTGAACTTAAATTGAAACAATTTTTAACTAATATTCTATTCCCTTAGCAATCCAGAGAAACATAAATTATAACAATGAGATCTGAGATCGGCAGT